CATTTAAAACACGTACGACGGAGTTCACTTGAGATTGGGTTTGCATAGATGCAGTTTGTTGCTTAAACACACGCGACCGGGGTGAATGTAAACCATCACACAATTCTTCGTCTTTTTTTGCCATGACACAATGTGCTTGGAACATTGGAATTCAGCGAGTGCTGTGACCACATGCTACGATGATAATCATATATAGAGAAAGAACGTAACAGCAAGCAGGTCAACCAGAACAAGAGAGCGGGAGATAGAGAGACGAGTGAGCGTTTAAAATTCATTCGTTCGTGCGGTATGTTGAATCGAATTTGGAATACGTATTGGATTCGATGTGTTCGTCTTTCATTTCTCTACGAAACGATTACCACCAAAAAAAAAAGAGGGGATTCATAATATATTTTGCGTTGGAATTTGTGTTTGGTATTTTTCGGTTGTTTTGCCTGTGCGTGCCTCTCAACTACTGCCCAAACAAAGAGAGCGAAAAGAGAAAGAAGGAAAGAAAAAACAAAGCCAAATCAATAAGATGAATTTTGTTAACAAGAATATAACCAGCAAAAACAGTCGAATCCGAACGCTCACACATTCACGAAAACAGACGAAATATTTGCGTGCATGTCAAGTGTATGTTGGCATTCACTGATTGAGCCATGTCTAAAAGTCTAAACGAGTCGATATTTTCAATTTGGAAGTTGAAAAGCCATAGACTTTCGTAGGAAAAACACTGCATTTTGTTGGTTGGAAAAACAAAACAAAGAAGAATTTAAAAAAAAAACGCTGATGGCCCCCTTTGGTCGAAAATCAGGAATTTAATATTGCAACATTTTTCAGCACAAATTTTTCGACGGTCAAACGAAAATAACAGTCGACGTTTGGGAAGAAAAAACAAGCAGGAATGTTTTGGGAAAGATGCTGTCTGCATTGAATGGCAAAAGAGAAAAGCAATCTTGAGGATATGTTGCCGCAGACACACACACACACACAAAACCATCGTAATATGGTAAGTCGATGTATTTAGCGTATTTTTTTCGGGGATTATTTTCGTGTCGTTGCAGACAAATGAACATACTTTTCTTTACCGAATGAAACCAACACAGAAAGAGAGATGATGGCTTTTTCGCTCTTTTGCACCCACACACACACACACACACACACACACACACACACAAATGCCGACTTAATTCGTTGTTTGCCTGCCAGGCCAAAACTCAATAATAACGACGAATCAACTCACACAGACACGCACACATACGAGCGCATTTAAGCATATTTTCCGCTCGCTCCGCACCGTCTCCCATTTCAAACGCACATAGACACGTATTTGATGTGATGGGGACTTATACATTAAATCGATGGTAATGCTCCGCTGTTGTTGCCATTGCCATTGTGTTTCGGCACCGCTATAATGATCTATACCGTTCATAAAATAAGGGAATAAAAATTTACAGTTTTCAGATATAAATCGAACGACTTGATGTTGTGTACGTGAATCTTTCACCGATTTTTGGAGGGAGTTTATCTCGACGATAGAGCGAAGCGAGCGAACGAACAAGAGTATCGCTTCTGTTCGTGTAAATGCACGGTTCGTTCGATGTGCCACCCAAAACTTGAGATACAATCGACAGAGAGCGAGAGAGAGAGCATTAAAAATCATTGTTGCTGCATGACCTGCATTGTTATTTGTGCGAACATGGTTCATTTACGTGCCGACGAAACGCACACGAACACATTCTCTCTTTTCATCGATTCAAGACGGTTTCGGAGTATCGACGGCTTGTGTAGAATATATTGAAGGTGTTTCATTCATTCTCTTTGCTTCGGCTCATTTTACCGACACAAGCAAATAAACACATAAAAACGTCGATTTAAGACGAAATTTCGAGCGGAGGAGCTCAGGCGGATAGCCAAAATCAAGTATCGTATCGTCATGTCATTCATTCGTTTAAAATGTGCAAATTCTATTCATGAATGTCACGAGCGTTCCTTTTTTTCAATTTTTGTCTGCTGCTGCTGTCGCCGTTTTTTTTTCAATCACAAAAGAATCACTGATGGGCGGATCACCTGCTCCATCGTTTGCAACACAATACTGCCATACTGACGCTTATTTCCCATTGAATGAAGTTGGCATTATCGGTTCATTTTCCTCCATCTGTGTTCTCTCGGCAAATTACATACACACAGAGCGTTAGAATACAATGAAAAGCCATATTGCCATTAATTTAATTAGATCAGATTTATCGTTTTGATATCCAACAATTATTACGAGATCGTGAAATCGAGTGTACAGTAACCAAAGATATGCGCATATTTCAAATTGGTTTCTGGTGTGTCGGTTTGTTGTTCTTTGGCCATTCGCATCGTCTTTCAAGCTGAAATGTGCACTGACATTGTTCAATATAGACACACATACACACACACACTCACACGTATTAATGGTTTAATTTTTAATGGGGAGGCAAACGCAACACCAGCATGCCGAAGCTCTTTTCCTGCTGGTATTCTTAATTATGTCGATTCCTCCGAACATATAATCTCTGAATATTTGATTACACTGGGCACAAATGAACATGAGGATATGCGAAGCGCATTTACTACTCGGGCAAAAACTTTCCTCTCGACGAAATCAGTGCATCAATGCATTTATTTGTTTCAATCTGGTGTGTTATTCTGGGGCTGGCACAAGTCAAATGTGTTTATATTCCGTATGTATACTTGTATATGTGTGTGCTGAGTTTGGTTTCGATTCAACTTTGGATTTTCGACGGACTCGATGGGAAAATTTGCAACGCCACAAAATTTATGGTTATTTTATGGCATTTTCGCAAAATTGTATAATTTTCAACAAGCTCAAACTAAATGAAAATCAACAACGACCAGCACGCCTGACTCACCATTGCAATTCGACTAAGCAGCACCAAATGTTGCCAGAGAAGGGTGCTCAAGAATTTCGTAAATTTTGAATTATACAGAGCTGGCATTTGAGTTGGCGATTCTTGAAATTGTATTATGGATTTTTCTTTCTCTCTTTCTCTCTTGTGCCCTTTTGTTCTTGTTCCATTGGCGGATTTGTTGCCAAAGTAATTTTCATCATGGTTCTTATCAGTGCATAACAATCGTAAACGGAAAATTTGATCTGCAGCACAAGATCTATGTACATGACTCTATGGATTGCTCAACAACACTATATTGCAAAATACACTAATTCAAACCAACTACTTCCCTACTATCAAATTGATTATCTTGATGCTTCTGTGTGTGTGTGTGTTTTGATTCATGTTATTGCATGAACGAGAAGAAAAAAAATTATACTGAAAATTACCCTCAAACGAAAAAGTATTCCCGAATTTCGTTCGCCTCGTTTCCGGCATTTTAATCTCGCTAATGGAAAACCAATCGAAAATGCGGGCGTCTCTTGAATAACCAATGCCATACAGTCACACTCACACACACGCACGCCGTTTCGAATCGATGATGAAAACACATGAAAATATGCATCAAAATGCCAATGGCACTGTTTAATGAAAAACAAAACTAATTTATTCGATCAATTCGACAACTCGAATGACCCGAAAAATTAATGACACGTTTTATGTGAAGGAATTTTTCGTTCATTTTGTTAAGTGAGAAATCGATTGTTTGTTACGCCATTACCATCGACGCCACTCACACTCATAATTTCGGCCATGAATTCATCATACCAATGGGTGACATTACGATAACTCATTACGCACCAAGCATAAATCATCTCATTTAATATTCGAAATCGATAACACCACCATTTTTTGTCTTTTTGGGAAAAAAAAAACCCAGCATTATCTTGATTGCTCCAGAAAAAAAAAACAGAGCTATAAATGCCATTACTTTAAGCGTGTGCTTGAGTCATTAATTCGATAAACAAAATCTCTCTCTGGAAATAAATATGAAAAATGTTGGGGTGATTTGTGTATCTTTTGCGATGATTTTCGATTGAAAATTCCGGGTGGTAAAAAATCCTTTGCAAAATGAAAAGGGTTTTCGATGGTGAAGAGGATAATATTTCATGCCATCAAAGCTATTTGAATAAACAATTTCGAATGCAACCAAACATGGAAAACTATTTTGAAATCATGGAAATCAACATAAAACTGCGTCGTTTACAAAAGCTTCCCCTAAACTGCACGTAAACTGAGAGAGAGCAAGCAAGCAAGCAAAGAGAACGTTATCAAGATTATACGAGCCATGAAAATGGCTCACATTTTAAACTGAGTGTTGCCAAGTACGTGCGTCGTCGTGGCGCACGATTCCAAAATCCCCTCGATACCAACTATGTTGAAAATGTTAATAAAATTTACCAGTTTCAAGCTTGAACTATGTCATCATTCCAGGCATCGTTGCAGTTGTGCATGCAGCAAACGGAAGAGATATGGCTACGGTTCGAAAGTTCTTGTAAAAATTTCAAAATAAATTTTTCGCTTCAATTAGCATAATAAATGAAGAGAAATTCAAAGTAATTAAATTGAATAAATCGAAAGAGAGAGAGAGAGAGAGAGAGAGAGAGAGAGAGAGTGTGTGTTGTTTTTTCTCTTGTTATACGAATATGATTGGTGTTGCTGTTGTTGGTGTTTTCCGGTCGCGACGCTCAAGAAAGGAATCGGCTGGTTCAGAGTCAATAAACAAACATATTCTTTATTTATTTATTTATTGGTAGAGATAAATACATTCAACAGCATTCATTAAATAGATCACATAGAATGTGACACTCCCATGATATTACTATGTTATGATGCTACACAATACGAAAGAAATAAAGAAATGCTTCGGCGCTGATATAAATTAGTTTTATTTTGTTTTTACATCGATAAAAAATGTGTCTCACACCGACTACCGGTTCGCCCGAATTACAACTATTCGTTCTTTGTTCTTTTTTTTTTTGCAAACGCAAACGCAGTGACTATTTTCGTCATAAATTTCGTATCTGTGTGTCGAATGTTTTGATTTCGTCATAGTGAATCGGTTTCGTTTTGCGAGTAGATCTCTTTGCACATTCTTAAAAATAGCCACACATGTGTAGACCAGCTACTTGCCTAGTAGCTACATGCCTAGCGGATGATTAAACACAGACAGATCCGAAAATAGTTCATTTTCAATGTAGATTCTCTTTTAACAAGTTGTATGTGGAATATTCGTAGTTTGACTAAGCTTTAAAATATATGATAAAATGCCCAGTGTCTAGTGCAAATGAGATTTGATATATTATTTTAGCAATTTTTTTTTCATTTGAATGGTGCAATTTTTTTTCTATTAAAAATGTTAATTTGGTTTAATCATCATACATCGAAATCAACTGAAGACATTTAACCAGCTTTAAAAGAAATCAATACAGTGACAGGTTTGCTAGTGTCGTAAAAAAATTTTCAGCGAAAAAAAAAATCCGAAGAGCAGTGTAGAAAGTAGTGAGTAGTGGCTCTATGTAAATTGTTCAGTGACTTCTTTGGAAATTGTGGAAATTATGTAAATAATTCTATACGACCTAACTCATAAACACGGAACTGAATATCAATAAAGTGTTTTCTGTTCAATTGAACACGGCAATTGATCATATGCATTTATAAGAACGACAAAAATGAAGCTGCTCATCGTTTTGTATGTGTTATTTCACATAACCTCATTCAATAGTGTATTTACGGGTATGTGGAATCGATTTTATGCACAGAAATCTAGATGAAATGAATAAATTCTAATTGTGTTTTTGCCTCTCTCAGCTCCAGATGAAAATGATCAGTGAGTAATGTTGCCACAATTTTCTTTGTTTTTTTCTAAACAACACAATTTTTCATTCCACATAATGCATTCTACATTGTATTGATTAATCGATTATTGGTTTACTTCGTTCACAGATCGGAAAAGAACTCTCCATTACACGAAGCGGTGATTGACGGTAAACATTTGTGTCACATTTAACTTGAACAACATTCAATCATACACATATTCAATAACTTTTTTTTTAGATAATTTTGTGAATGTAAAAAAGTTGCTAAACAAAGGTGCGGATAAGAATGCAAAGAACTACTTTGGAAGGACACCGTTACATTTGGCGTGCAAGAGAGGTCAATTCTTACACATTCAATTTCAGTTTGAAACGAGAAAATAAATGCCGATTTTGTGTTTGTCCAGGTTTTGAGAACATCATCAAATTGCTCATCGAGAATCATGCAGAAATCGATGTCAGGGATAATTATTGGTTACTTCCAATTCACTTTGCCGCACAAAATGGTAAAAATTCGAACTAAAGCTGTAAAATAGTTGTAACAAACTAAAGCTGATTAATTACCTCTTCATGACACACCACATATACCATTCATCTACAAACACGTAATTAACTTAAATTATCTTGTTTTTGAATCAGGACATTTCGACATTTTCAAACTACTGATTCAAGAGTACGAGAACAAGAATATTGATTTCACAAATGCCACAGACATAATGGGAATGAGTTTGCTCCACTACGCGGCGATGAATCGAAAGCCAAAGAATACCGAAATGATCGAAATGTTGTTACAAAAAGGTGCCAACGTCAATGCGATAGCAAGTGATAACACAACACCACTTGATTATGCTGCTAGCACAGGTTGGGACATTCATGAATTTTCGATTTAAACGTAATTTTATTCGACCAAAAGTTTTTTTTGATTCTTAGGTAATATGGAGATGGTTCGATTGTTGCTTGATGCTGGAGCTGCTGCTAATGTGAATTTCAAAGATTCGGCTGGAGATACTCCAATCATATATGCTGCATATGGGCCAGGCGGAGGTAATCAAGAATTTGGATAACTTGGTTTCAAATACGGAAACAAATCAAGGACAATATCACATACAGCATGAAAATAGAGACTGAATAAATCATTTCTTTCTTCTTTTATTTTCATTAGATCGCCAAAGAGTTTTTCAAATTTTAATAAAGAACAATGCCGATGTCAATACCGTAAATAACCTTGGTGAAACACCTCTATTTTTCGTTGCTCGTTTTGGCGGTAAATATAGACACCATATTTTATTGGGTGACAATTATATTTGTCACTATAACATGCTCATTTTCGTTTTGAGAACGAACATTCATCGTCTTTTCTTATTCGTATGAATAGTTTGGTCGGATGTGCGTATCTGGCCAGACTCAGTTTGTTATTACACAGTCACAAATTTTTTTCTCTTTTGTTTATTTTCATTTCACTCATAATGCGGCTCATTCCAAAAATGTTGAAAATCACTTCAATATCCAAATTTCTCAATTAATTCAACAGGTGATGATGATAAGCTGGCTGATTTCCTAATTAAAAAAGGTGCTCGCGTTAACCATAGCAATAATAAGGGTGAAACACCACTCCATTATGCCGCTAAGTTAGGTAAATGTCGAAGTAGTTCCTAATCAATATTCTATCCATAGAGAAAATTTCGAAAATCTTCTTTAATCTTCTTTCGTAGGCCATAAAAAGCTCGGCGAGTGTTTTATTAAAAATATTGCCAATAAAGATGCAACCAATAATGAAAATCAAACGCCGCTCCATTACGCAGTCAAATATGGTAATTTTGGGAACTGAACACATTGAAATCTATTTATTCAACATATTTATCGATGATCATTCTATGCATACATTTAGGTCAGATTGAATTTGCGGAAATGCTCATCAATAATGGTGCTAAAGTCGATGTAGCGGATGAAAATCGAAACACACCTCTACACCTCGCAGTTGGAGAAGGTAATTTTAAGTTCTTATTTTTTCTGTATTTCTCTCCATCGCAAAACACGTTTCATTATACATATCAATTCTCTTATAACCGCAGCTCTAGGGCATGAGAAAATCCTCGAATTGTTGAGCAAAGGTGATTTTAACATGAATAATTTCAAAAGAGATGGAAAGTCGCTGCTTCACATATGCATCGAAAGAGGTAACCACATTGTGCATATTTTCTCCATTTTCTTCTGTTGCTCACTACAAAAATGTTTTTTTTTTCTATACCAAATTTTAGGAGGCGACATGAAAACGTTCAAGTGGTTGCTAAACAAAGGTGCTGATATACATGTGACAGACAGGGACGGTTGGTCACTTCTGCACTCAGCTGCTCGATATGGTAACTGTATCCCCCAATAAATCAATTGCTTTAATAAAAAAAAAACAATTAACTGATTTAAAATTCTAATATAAAGGTCGCGTCGACATTGTGGAATGGATAATCGCGCACCATTCGATTGATGAAATCATTAATAAACAAGACAACTATGGGAATTCGCCACTTCACTTTTCAATTGAAGGAGGTAAAAAAGACTAAACATGTTATTTTTGAATGAAAAAATGGAATACGTTTCTCTTATATTTAGGTTACTACGATCTCACCAAGATTCTACTCAATAATGGGGCCGATGTCAATGCTATGAACCGTGAATTCGAATTTCCTATTCATGTTGCCGCACATAAAGGTAATTTGGTACAGCGAAAGAAAAATGAATCAATTTTATATATTCTCTCACATGATTGTGGTGACTTATATCTCATACAGGACATGAGGACATTGTAAAACTCCTAATTGATTACGATTCAACGGTAAACGTGAGAAATCGAATTGATTGGACGCCGCTCTTTTTTGCGGTTTTAAATGGTAATGAAAGAGTTGTCAAAATCTTCATCAATCATAAAGATGAAGATTTTAGTCTCAATGACATGGATGCAGAAGGCAAAACCGTTTTTCATATATGCGCCGAAAAAGGTATTTTCCCACAATTTTATTGTATTCAGTTTGCGGTAACAGATCTATCCTGTTCGTAGGTTCGGTGAATGTTGCAAAAATACTGTATTCTCATGGCGCAAATATTAGTGCCGTTGATCAACTTGGTCATACACCTTTGCATAGAGCTGCCGCATTCGGTACTACTCATTTAGTCTTTGATTGAATTTAACAGAGAAATTTAAACAATTGTGTGTAACCTTTAAGGTAATTCTGAATTTGCTGAATGGTTAATTAATACGCAATCAAATGGTGATAATCTAGCTGACGATGTTGTAAATGTGGTCGGTAAAGATGGAAAATCACCCCTTCATTTGGCTGCTGAGAGAGGTTTACTATACATCAAGAAGTTATCAAGTGTAAGGAATTTTCTTTAATATTCTGGGCTCTTTATTTTAGGATACGATTCGGTTGTCAGAACTTTGTTAACCAAAAATGCCGACATAAATTTACAAGATCAGTCCCTTGACACACCACTCTCGCTGGCTATTCAGAATGGTTCGTATATTTTTTTTGTCAAATTGATTTTATGCTCATGCGAATTTTGAATTTGGAAAAGATAACATTAAATCACTTGATCGAAAATTAATTTTTTTTTGTTCTAATTGAAGGTCATCGAAATACTGCAAAAATCCTGCTCAAGCACTCAAACAATCCAAATGTTAAATATGACGGCAACAGAGAATTACTTCTGTTGGCTGCCGAAAGAGGTTGGTTTACCTTTTCGAATTTCGTTCAAACCAGAGTCTTCATTTTCATTGTTATGCAGGTTACGATGATATTGTTGAAATGCTGATAAGTAAAAATGCAAGAGTCAAAACTGAGGATGAAAACAGATGGACGCCGTTACATTTTGCAGCCAAGAATGGTACACGCATGGTTTGACTATTTACCGAAATTTCAGTATAATTTTCAACAACAAACAAAATCGCTTAACATTCTGTTTTTTTTTTTTTTTTTAAATTAGGTCACGCAAATATTGCAAAAGAGCTACTGAGTCATGGTGCTGAAATCAATGCCAAAGCCAACAACAATCAAACAGCTCTCTCATTAGCTATTCAAAATGGTATAAGAATCTTTGAATTCAGTTTTATTAGGTAAAGCCATTTTTTTTAGAACCACATCCAATTTTGCACTCCAGGCAATTATGACGTTGTTGAGGAACTTCTTAAAAGCAATGCTGACGTGAGTATTCAAGATGAAAACGAAAAAACGCTACTGGACCTAGCAATGCAACAAAGTAATTACACTTGAAGCATAAAAAAACCATTAAAGTCTCAATAATATTACACAAAATGATTCATTTCTTTAGATGACTACAAGACTGTTGATCTTTTGACCAAATCCGACAAACAGAGTAAATAAATTTTTACATTTCAAACAAATGAGCTAAGCAAATCTAACAGCATTTTCCATTTTCAAATCTAGGAAAAGAACAAGCGCGAATTTTCCACATTTTCATATTGGTGATTTTCTTGTTGATAATTCCATTGGTATGTTTTATCGCGTTGTTCTTCCATAAACTATTCCAAAAAGAAGCCAAAGATAACGAAGCTGGTTTGAAATTGAGCGATTTGCTGGAAAGGTACATGTTCCCACAAAGTAAAGTGATGTTAAGCTCGCGGATTGGCAAAAGTGTGTATGGAACTGTTTACAAAGGCTACGCACATAAAATTCTAACGCATGAAAATGAAACGCTAGTCGCCATTAAAGTGGTCAAAGGAACCGGTGAAGATGCTAATAGTCTTTATGAGACACAAAAGGTTGGTTTTGCAACACAAATTCATCGGTGGGCAAATTTTACGATGAATTAATTTTTTTATCCATTCTCCGTTAGTTGTTACAATCGTTGGGATCCGAAATGAAGGTGTTGATGCAATGCGGTGGACATTTGAATCTGGTCAACTTGCTCGGAATTGTCACCGAAAATATTGCCAACCGTAATTCAAAGAAAACACAACAGAATAGACAGAATATATCGATTGAAGATATTTTATTTTTGTAACAGATGAACTAATGGTGATTGTTGAATATTGTCGATTCGGCAATTTAAAAGACGTCCTGGAGAAGCACCACAAAAATGTAAAAAATCAAACAACTGACAACAGTAATTGTCAAGTGACAATGACAAAGAGTAGGAATACCGCATTTGCTTCAGCCCGTGCGGTGTCGCGAAACGATTTAGCTTCTTGGTCATATCAAATTGCTCAGGGAATGCAATTCTTAGCCAGACACGGTATTGTGCATGGAAACTTAGCCGCACGTTCTATTTTACTCACGGATGGAAATATTGTGAAAATCAGTGATTTTGGTTTAGCACGAGCCATGTATAAAACGGAAGCGTACATTTTTGAAAAGGAGGTAAATGATTGAACGGGAAAAATCGCTGCATTTGATTTTGACAAATTGATTTGCATGCGATTTCATTTGCAAATCAAACGGAATGTACTAATTTTTGGAATTTTGTCTTTCTTCTGGATCCGAACTTTGTCAGGGCAAACTTGAATACAAATGGCTAGCCGTCGAATCCATGCAGAATCGGGTATTAACTTCGAAATCAGACGTCTGGATGTTTGGAATTCTATTGTACGAACTGTTCTCATTCGGTGAAACACCCTATCGAGACACCGAAATTTTCCAGGTAAAACGACACGTCCTCAGTGGACGTACTATGGAAAGACCACCGTATGCTAACGAAAATGTGTATGTATCAATCAAAAATTAACAACTTTAATATTTGAATTCGCTTCAGAATGATTTTTGATCGATTTTGCTATGCAAAATATTTCTAGGTATGAAATAATGCAACATTGTTGGCGCCCTAATCCTGAAGCTCGTCCCACATTTGATTCTTTGGAGAAATGGTTGTATCAATTACTTTAAAATTGTAAATTTTTTCATACTCCATTCTTAACGGAAAAGACATGAATGTCGTATTTTGACGGTATTACCAAGACAGAAGATCCAAAATACCTCGGTCAATGAACTGTATATGAAACTAAACGATAAACGAACGTATCAAAAATCAATGGATTTTCATTTTTTTTTAAATACTGATGAACAAGGCGAGATCCACGCAAAATGGTTTGTACCAGAAAAACTCATCAAAATTCCAGTCGCTGACATTTAGATAATAAACTTCATTTTGAATATATATCACCGATCAGAATTTTGAACTATTTTTCTGACACAAACCATCTTACGAGAATCTCATTCTGTTTATCAGTCTTCATATTTATTTAATATAAATCATAACAATGTAATCTAATAATTTGAATAAAGCTTAAAATTTGACTTCGTAAAACCCACTCAATAAAAACGTGCAAAAGTATCAAATGAATAAGTTGTTTTCAATTTTCGAATTTCACCATAACATCCAATTTCTTGGTTAGTGTAGTAATAACCGTTTCGAGTTTTTCAATTCGATGTATGCAAGTGTCTATATCGGACTTTTCTTTTTGATCATCTTTTCTGCGGTCGATGACATTGCGAGCATTTTCCACAATTTGCGGATTCATGCGATCCGTTTTATTAAAGAAAATGCCAATGAATTTCTTCCAAAGTTGTGAACAACACCGTTGCGATTCGTCAGTGTCTTCATTCTCTTCTGAATCTTTACTCTTTCTATCCACTTGAGATCCCTTCTTTGGGCTGAACAAAGCCTTCGATACAATTCCAACGTCACCGCTTTTCGAGCTTTGATTCTGTGACTGGATACGATAGATGATTTCATTTCCTGGTCCAATGTATACTTTTCGATGGTTATCCGGCCGGATGCTTTCCAATACATCAAATTGAGCGAAAAAGTCAAACAATCTCATAACCGGAGTTTTCTTAAATGTTTGCCTGTGACAAGGTAAAAAAAAAAACGAATTAATCGTCAGAGGATTTTGTTTGGAAATGTGTTTTATTCTGAACCTACCAAAACCAATGTTTTTGATTAGTCAGCGATTCTTCGTATTGGATCAATAGATGAACTCGTTGTGTCAAACAGGTCAGTTCGGATTTCGATTGAATGGCCTGGGTACCAGTGACGGCAAGACTGTTCACCAAATTCATGTTGATGATTGAAACCAACGAAATCATGACAATGAGCAATCCCAAAAAGGTCCATTCCACGCTGGCAATTTTGTCATCCACATCTCGATGCCATCCGATGATGGCTTTCATCAGTGACAACACCACAGTTGAAGTGTTTTCATGATCGCTGTCATCCTCTTCTTCAATGAACTTGCGTATCAACGAGAAAAACTTCTTCTTGAAATTCTCCAATTGGCTGTCGCCGATGGGATCTGCCGAATTGGGAACAAGTGCTTGTTGCATATAATCGAAGAATTGATTTTTGTACGTGTTCTCTTGAATATTCGGTTCTTTATTGGTGATCATCAACCAGTAGGAGATGATAAACGATGGCAACAGTACAATGTAAACCATTAAACTCTTCATTGAACTCCAGGCAATGCTCAAAAACATGATGTAGTACAGTGAAAATGTCCAAAAGATCGATCCAGCCAATACGAATAGTTCACATGTAATTAGTAGAACGCACATGGCCGGAATTACCGGATTGATGTCTTCCAGATAATGGACCAAACTCACTGAAACAATTACCTGAAACGTTTGATAGCAATGGAAATAGTTGATCAACGTTCGACGATACTCATTGCTGCAAAACAGTAAATGTACGATCCGTCGAATTGCCACGTAAAATGTCATATTTCCGGTTAAGATGAAAAATACATTCGTTATTTCATTGGGAGCGTCACCGTATAAGGCTAAAACGTAACACAAATTGGACAGAGCAAATACAACATAGAGAGCACAATCAATACTACGAATCAATGCCAATTGACGCCATTTCAACGATATAAAGCTCCAAATCAACGGATGGACGAGTAAATGCTTGTAATCAACCGATTGTGATATAAATTGAATGGCCGTCATTTCGTTTGGGAACACAAATTGATTGTTATCATGGCCGGCTCTCGGTGCAATCAAATTTTTGAAGTCGAATTCCAGGTATGTCACCTTCTTATTATCTTCACTTTGAACGAAATTTACGCAATTATTGAAATGAGCTTCGAGTGCGGCTGGTGCAATGAACGATACGTTTGGCGTTGTTGATCCATTTTGCATGCCAACATACGTGCCCATTTCAAGGAACTGGTCAATTTTCTTCGGTAAATTTGACACATAATACATGGCCGAACGACCATGCGAATCCATGGAATTTACATCGAAATTGCTCTCGTTCAGCAGCAAATCATAACATTTTTCGTAATGTTCACGACGCGATTCATCGGCAATGCGAGCCGAATTGTATAGTTCCCGAAGCAATGGCATTTTATTCTCTTCCAAATCCAAATGCTGCAGCAATATCTCCAACGATTGCCACGATCCCGACTTACAAGCCGATAAAAATGCTGGATATTCCACTTTTCCACCGTACGCAACCAACGTTTCAATTGTTAATGTCAAATGATTTGAAGCGGCTATGTTGAGTAGATCGCTACTATTTGCTATGATCTCCCTCAGTTTATCCGGATTCTTTCGGGCGATTAATTTTAAGCCCTTCATAAACAGCGGCTCATTTCCATAGAGGAGACACATTCGAAGACGACTAAAATCCCAAAATTTATCATCGTCACGCTGAATTGACGGCAACATATCTCCTTTATGCATCAACTTTTTCACCATCAATTTTGACTCATTGCTGAGCTGCAAATTTTAAATGACATTTCAATAGATTTAGTGACAATTTTCGGAACAAAAATGAAAATATTTTTCAACTATACCGAGTTCGTATCACAACCAGCAATCAAACATTCTTCAATGAATAGTTCGGAGATTTGTTTTGAACAGGCCTCTTCAAATAAATTCCTTCTCTCGATGGCACTTTCATCTTTTGCAATGTATAGTCTCCAGCGAAACACTTCGAGTTCTTCTAGAAACGAATCCATCGCAAAATCTTGACATTTTTCCATCTTTTTATTTTTCACCGATTTTAAACGAAACCCATGCACAAACTAAAATAAAACGTCAGATTTTCAAGACGCTCTCGTCTCGAATGCTCAATTTTTATTTATAAAATACACGCGGCAAGCGAAAGAAATTTTAAAAATATCGAGAGCATAAAACATCCGAGAGCAGAACGAGCTAGGAAGAGAGAGAGAGAGAGAGAGAGACATGCACGCATGAAAATTTAAAGTGAACAGAAAAAAAAGCATACACAAAACCACTGGTGAGACGATGAGATAGCTATGACGATCGATTTATAAATAGACCCCCTCCCATTTGTCGAACAATAGTATTACAAAATAAAAAGAATGTATGAACAGCAATGCGAATAGAAAATCAAGTGGCCGGCCACGTAGTTAGACGGATCAAACGCTATGCGATTCACACATAAGGAGCTAGTCAGTCATACGTGCCTTGACATCGATATTTTTAATACTACCGTCTACTGGCACATACACACACTTTCGCTATACAACATTCATCAAAATTTAACAACCAAAACACACAGCGAATAAGCGATTTGAATCATCGCAATTGATTTCTTAGACAGAATGCGCGCCTCCGCTTCAATGAACACATAATTTGAGTGCTCTTTCTGACATAAACAACATAACTTTAATGAGGAAGAAAAGAAAAGTTAATGTACATCAAATGTGTATTTCATGCACATCGAAAAAATACGTTGCGATTTTCAGTAGAAGCAATTGTTATTTTTCATTTTTATTTTTGTGAATTTTTATTTTGAAATCTCAACAGATTTTTTCAGCCTAATTTTTAGTTATGAAAGAGTTTTTTTTCATTCAAAATAAAAACATACATTGATACGAATAACCCGAATGACAATAAAAGAAAAACTGTCACTTATCTACTCACGGGAATCTTTTCATTCGGTATTGGCACTCACACAGCGAGCAGACGGACAAGCCTACTCTGTGTTAGTAAGCCAGTGTCGAGTTACCATGCATACACATGCGTCAGTATAAGTGACCGAAATCATCCGAAAATAACCGGCAAGCGATCGACGAACAGCAGAAGAAAAAAGAATGATCGTTTCGTGTTCAAGTCACTATTACACGATTCACTTTGTTTTAAGAAGCGAAAATAAACAGATGTATTTGACCGGAGAGTCGGTGCCTTTTTATTGCTCGTTGTATGAATGATGCTAGCTTTGAAGCGAGTAACGGAAGTTATTCCAAATGACGGGAAACAAACATGTGCAGTTCGAATAGAACAAATTAACTGTACATTCGAATTCATGTAATTAGCACACATTTTTTGGTTCTTATAATTACATGCAGCTCAAATTTCGACTCAGATGTTCATAGATCACAAGTTGAAACTTTGAACTGATTTAGAAAGCTCAATGAAAACTACAGCATTGTTGGTTTGCGATTATCATAAGCACAAATAAAAACGAATATGAAAAATGCCGAAATGATTTTTGCATCGTTCGACATGATTTCCGATTGAAAATTCCGGGTGCTGGGCAATTCTGCACAAATGAAAGATGTTTTCGATGGTGAAGAGGGTAATATTTCAAGCCACCAAATGAACTATTTGAATAAACCAATTTCGAATGCAACCAAACATGGAAAACTATCTTCAAATCATGGGAAATCAACATGAAACTGCATCGTTTACAAAAGCTTCCCCTAAACTGCACATAGACTGAAAGAGAGCAAGCAAGCAAGCAAAGAAAACTTCATCGAGATTATACGAGCCATCAAAATGGCTCACATATTAAACTGAGTGTTACCAAGTACGTGCGTCGTCGTGGCGCACGATTCTCAAATCTTCTCGTTGCCAAATATGTTGAAAATGTTAATAAAATTTACCAGTTTCAAGCTTGAACTATGTCATCATTCCGGGCATCGTTGCAGTTGTGCATGGCAGCAAACGGAAGAGATATGGCTACGGTTCGAAAGATCTTGTAAAAATTTCAAAATAAATTTTTCGCTTCAATTAGCATAATAAATGAAGAGAAATTCAAAGTAATTAAATTGAATAAATCGAAAGAGAGAGAGAGAGAGAGAGAGAGAGAGTGAGTGAATGTGTGTGTTGTGTTTTTCTCTTAGTATACGAATATGATTGGTGTTGCTATTGTTGGTGTTTTTCGGTCGTGACGCGAGTCTACAACTAATTATTCGAAATGTAGTTCAAATAGAGTGTTGTGCATGCTTCGTTGAGTAAATAAAAAGTTGTCTCTCTCTCTCTCTTTCTCCCTATGTTTGTGCCGAATGTCAGTGCAGAAAATTGTGAGTTGATGTCAAATTTATGAGCTGCATAAATGCATGAATAACAGGCTAATAATTGACTGTAGAGAGCTAATAGAATCACAAACATGCATATGCAGATGCAAATTAAACCTGACTTTTACCGGCTAATATTTCGACGATGGTCGTATAGGTTTTTCACTTGGTTTTCTCTTTTAACGACGCAGAGAATGTGCGAGAGTGAGTGTGAGAGAGACCCGAGAGTTTATGCAACGCACTCAATGTATTTACATTGTTCGAAATAGAGTTGAATGTGTAATCGAAAGCAGAAACCAAACTCTCGATGAACAACAAACGAACCAACACACACACACACAAAGCGACACTCAACGGAACACGCGTTCGCCACAATCCAAAATCCATTGCAAGCGTCTACACGTAAAACTATTATTTAATTACAATGCTTTATTATGCAATGGATTTAAATGGTGAATTTATGTTTTCCATTTGCTCATTTGATTTGATTTGAGCCCAAGAGAGCGGGAGAGAAAGAGAGAGCGAGATTGAATCGGCCGTTCAAACGCCTCTTCCTCGTTCTCGCTTTATCCCGATGTGTCCAGTTACATGACGCAACCTATGTGTGTATAGATGTGACGATGACTGGGCTCCATTCGGCACAGCGAGACGCCATAAAATTGGTTAGTAAATGAGAAGCACATTATAATGCAATTATAATGTGTACTCGGTGTGTGTTTAAGTCTATATATGGACTTGAATCTAGAGTCCTTTGAATGGACATTGAACATACTACGATTCGATGCGTATGTTTTATGCATTGGCTGTCAGCATAATGACTGCTTTGTTTCCATTCACGTTTCGTTTTTAATTTCTCCGGCATAGCGTCAAACAATCGAGAATCGTCTCCCAAATTGAATATCGAACCTCGAGCATATATAGATTAGATGTGCGGTGGTGTAATACTCCCACTTGGATTTGCTAAATGGCACCATTTACGCTCTCTTTGATTCGATTGCAGAAAGTGCAGCAGCAGCAGCAGCAGCAGCAATAGCTGCAGTCAATGGTGCTACTTTGCAGGTAGACAATGGACATTTTGCTCATTGCATCCGGAAACTTTTTAATCAATTCGAGTCAATGCGTTTGAAACCTATTTGAACTGTAAAATCACGATGAAGCAATCAATGTTGCCGTCAGATTGAATGGCTGTCGGTGCTGAAATTGGACAAATTGCAACAGTTTCTCGACGCTACCAGAGCCCCTCTATTGCAATGACTCACCAATTCAGTGCGCATTTTTCTTCACCGACGACAATGATGACGACGACAGTGGCGTGAAGTAGAAAACCGTGTTCACGTCTATTAGTTTGACATTGACTTTTGCATTTGTAATAAACACATCCACATTTGGATAGAAAAACACCATTCAATTTGTTATATTTCGAAATATATTCTGTCATTTCGATGAATAACGATCAAACTAAACATTTACCGCTGAGACTTGGAACGAAACGCGTCATCGCTTCAACGCACCGCGTACGTTGATTTGGGTCGGTGATGAATCAGACACACAATTTTGCATATGTGAATAATGGATTCGATCGGGTGTATTGGGAATCCATCAAATGCATTGAATTTTGCACAGACACCGCACCAGAAAGCGAATTCTAAAACTTTTTTGTGGCATCGTTTGGGAAAACGGGGCATTCAATCAAATTAATTGATGACGTTCGGAGTATGCGATGCATCAATACAAACGGAAACGAATCCGCCGAAAGTTTCTTTTTTTTCGTTTTTTTCGTTACTTTTTTCTCTAATTCGAGACATTTTTTTCAGGGGAGAGCAAAAATAATTATACGCATAAATAAAGTGAAAGTGTCATTCATATTTCCTGTGAGTGAAAGCATCGCCTCAGGTGCAGAAACATTTCGAAAATGACATAGAAAATCATAAATAAAATACAAAATACGCAGTGCGCGCCGCGTATTTACATTAACACATAAGCATATGTGATATTCATCGTTTGCCATTAAACTAAGCTCGTCAGCTTAATTTTCTTACGCACATTTCATGGATGGGACGTGTTGTGCCCGCGGCTGCCTTTTCCTTTGCGATTTTTTTTCATGATTTAATATCTCGCGTGTGTCACACAGCGAACAAGGAAAAAAATACAATTCCACCAAAAAACCAAATATTAAATATTGCCATCGAGAAAAATAACAAGACACTGTAAATAAGCCTCATGTGCACCATGTGGGATACGAATTGTGTTTGTATCCCATATTTTTCCGTGAGTTGTGTATGTGTATGTGTTGTTGTTGTTTTTTTTTCTTTCGGATGTTGAGTTTGAGGGAAAAAATATGTTTCTCATAATCTTCATGTATACTTCGAAAGTGCATCTCAAGAGTAGTCGAATATTTTTTTTTCTTCTGCTTATGCTGGAGAACAAAAAAAGCCCGTGGAAAATATTTAAATATTTTAATAGCATTACTTCAATGTGCTTGTGCATTGGGATATTATGTAAATATGCGCTTCAAAATATTATTTTGCTTGGCATTTTTTGTTATCATATTGCTATCTACTTTCGTGGATGTGAGTCTATCGTGTGTATGCGAGTGTGTGGAGCTCATGGATCGACTGCGTTCACATTTTATTTGCTGAAAACTTTTCATTGTGCGCTTATCAAGTTTACACACAAAGCACCACACGATTTATTTGTATGTTTGCTTTCTGTACAATAGCGCCAGCGGCATCGAACAACAGCCACCACTGCCATCGCCCGCAAAAACAACAGCAGCAGCAGCAGCAGTGGTAGTGCTGGCAG